GCCGTCTGCTCGTGAATGTCCAACAACCGCTTAAACTTCGCAATCCACAGAAGCACTTGTAAAGACAGTGTCTTTTGAGTAATATTTTGACATTTTATTTACCATTAATTACTCAGAGAAAAATAGGCGAAAAAAATCGAGCATTCTTTCTCAATCGTTCTGATAAATGCAAATTGGTGTCATAGATTAATTTAAGGTGTTTCGAGTAAAACGAACAGATTAACTGATGGTGAAATTGGAAACGAGAAGTGACTTGAAGTCAGGTAATGTGTAAATAATGAAAATTTGAAGCAGAAGATAATTCAAGTTATTCACCTTTATGTTATAAGTAAGAGTTCATTATTACTGACAATTAAACCAAATAGAAGTTAATAAAACACCAATAATTTAGGAAAGAATATTTCTTTATATACCTCAGGAGTTAATTTGAATGAAAAATACGTGTTCAAGTCAGATCATGCAGTTTAAACATGCTCCTTCATGTTGTGTAACACCTTAATCATCCTAATTATGTAATTCAACTTGGATAATTACAAAATTTAAATTCAAATAGGAAGTTCTCGGGAAACTAGGTGGAATATCAGTCGTTTTCTCAATCAACATTCACAAAGTTAACGAGGAATCAAATTCAACTTTCGATTCCATATTTCAATGAACTATTACGTACGCTTTTGCGCTGTAGAAAATGTTAGGGGTTCTGTTCGTTTACTCGGTACTGCCAAGATTTTTGGGTATAATGAACTAGGGCTGTTAGAGCCCCTTTCGTTAAAAGAAACACTTATTTGCATTAAGGTAAAAACAACTAGAAGATAATCATCTTCTCGTAAGTATGTCTCCACATTTACTCTGTGCACACTTTATAAAATTGCGTCATTCGTGATTGACGTGATAAAACAGATTTTGTGAAGAAATTGAAGAATCAACATTGTAAACAATTGAAATTTAATTTAAGACAGAAATTCTCACAGGCTGTAATTACGAGTAAATAAGTAAAAATATTACCACGTCCGTCGCTTTTAGAGGGCCTTTTGTCATAACCATACTTTTTCTGATTCAAAAAATTCTAATAGTATCCAAGTTTCATATCAGCCCATCAAATGCATGGAATTCTATTATTAAGGTATATTTAATAATTATGATAATCAGATAGAGAGTCGGCGTTAGGTTTTGTAGGTTTGCCTTGTTGATTTTGCAATACCAACGCATTGAAACCAAAACGTCTCTTGTGGGCTCGAGCATTCGGGAATGTGCGGTCGTGATGTGGATCTCGTTGGGGAGCAGATGAGACCATGAATGCAAAGAAAGGAAATTGCTATCACAGGGTCAGCACACCCAAAAGAGTATCTGATGACAAGTTCTGTTCCAGTTGCCCATAGAGAGAATACGTTCAACGGAATTATCGCGAGCTCAATACGCAATTTCTCTACATTGTTGTAGTAGCTTGCTAATTTGAATGTCGTTCCGAAATAGGGAATTTGCTAGAGATTACAGAGGTGAAATCAAGGCATACTGGTGTAGCTATCCGCTATATGCTGCAAACAATCGTAACTAATGGAAACAATTAGCAGTGATTGAGAGCAAATAAATCCATCAACATTACTCTCCATTGACATAAATTGCAAACATATTTTGGACCATAGTTATTTAAATTAAAATTACTTAATTCCAACTCGTGATTTTCTAACTATTAATTGTTTTAAAGAAAGATAAATCTCGTATTTATATAGACTAGCATTAAAGATAATCACGAGATAACAAATAACATAAAGTCTGTTTTTTGTTCAAAATACTTTACATGTGCGACTTTCTAGATGTTCAAGAATTCTGCCTTATGACAACATTTTTTCAAAAGGCATGTACGTTCTTTATTTCTGCTAATATTAACTTCCACGATGAATTCTATGCCGAAGAGAATGTTTCAGCACATCCAATGATGTACTTCTTAAGTACATTTGGTCAAAATCAATTTTAACGAATGTTTCCCTTTGGATGTGCTCAACAAAATTAGGCTGATCTTGAATCATGAAATTCAATCAAGAATGGAACTCATCTTAGTGAATTCCTTCTAATAACTACCATAAAAAAACTATTTTTCTGTTCAGTTATTTTTTCCAAGCCTACGTAGTCACGCACGGCATACCCACCCCTGTCAGTGGCTTTAATTCCCCTCAAAATTCAAGTATTCTTAATAATTTTATTTCACTTTATCAATTAATTGTCGACACAACTAAGCTTTTCATTCCACTTGTCATTTTGGATTTTAAGGTAGCGTGACAATTCATCAAAATTCGATCATCCTCTCTTTGACATTGACACTGGTACTGATTGTTGATCATGCTAATATGATTGATTGATTGATATATTTCGGTGAATAACACTAAAATTTAGTTCCATGCAATACATAACTATTTTACCACACATCATATCTTGGAATTGTATTTTCCCATTTTTAACATTCCACAAACTTCCAGATTCATCAACGAGAAAATGGAGCTTTCAAAAGCATATTTACCACCAAAATGTGCAAACAAAAGAGACTAATTTTCAAATCAATGTAACAATTAATTAGATCGTTGTCAACTTTAATTAAAATACAATAACGTGTTGCATACAGCTAATGGCACACCTAATCAACTCTCTTTCTCACGATTTCTCTCTCTCTCTCCAGCTTTGCACTAGAATTTTATTCTTTTCGAAATTCATTCTTTCCTAATATTTGTTTATTTATATCAAATGTCAGGCGTTTTGGTAGTTATCATTAGCCCATTAGTTGACTTAGGCTTCACAGAGAGAAAGGAACATCAAAGTGAAAAAAGTCGAGAGGGGGGGGGGGAAGGGAACAAAGGGGTGTTTCAAAAATGTAAAAGAGACAGATACAAAGGTAGAAAAGGTGAGTTGAGCCATCGAGGGAAAAATAAGCTTCAGGGATGGTTGCTGTCCCACTCTCTCTTGATATGCACATAGACCACTCAATAGAGAATTCAGTTTCTGCTTATTTTTACCATTTTTCGCAACTCTCAGTGATAATCTTGTGCAGTGAATGATCAAATATTTAATAATTTGTAACATTGTTGGCAAATGAAGTTTGTCGTTTTTTCTTAGTGTCTCCGCATCTCAAACTGGAAACGAGAAATCAGTTTTAGGGCTACATTAAGGGACTCAACTAGAATTCGACCTTGTAGAACATGTAGCGGATTGCTGCCTTATTAAAGCCTGACTGACCCAGAAATCTCTATGGCAGATCCTCCAAAATCTACCTAGACTCCCAGAACCAGCTAAGTCATAGCCCAGCTATAAAGTATACAGACGTGTAGCACGGAGCACATTTATTCAGTACGGGTATTGCGGATAAAGTGTACACGAGAATCAGGATGGCGGATTAGGTTAAACAAACAGAGGTTAATGATTGGTCACTGTTTTTACGGAAACAAACAGAGGTTAATGATTGATCACTGTTTGTACGGTAGCACAAACAGTGGTTAATAATTGGTCACTGTTTGTACGGTCGCACCTCCCAATCATGGCGTGCAGGCATGCAATGACGTGTCCCACAAACACCACTTCTAAACGTCGTAGTAGATGTCTTTTTTAATGAATCTTAAGTGTAAAAGAAATTTCAAATCTATTAATTTTTTATTCTCTTTTACTTTATGCGCAACTTTTCAAATTACACCACTTTGATTCCGAGTACATAAATTTTTCTGAGACATCTAAATTTACTAAATTTTTAGTTTAATTAATTATTTTTTATACTTGCAATCATATTTGGCTGAAATAATAATTAAGGCTCGTGAATTTAAATGATTTAACGTTATCCACATTGTTTCCAATGAGAGTGAATCAGTCTCAAATGAATTCAGCTTTAATAAAATAGAGTTTCTCTGTGCCTGGTTATTTTGAAGCATCCATTTATTCCAAGTCTAAATTGATTATGATTGTCTACTACTTAATGACCTGAAGTAGGATTTACGCAAATTTTAATTTTTAATAAATATCACTAGTCTCAAACATGATTCTCTGTCATATACGTTCTCCACAAATTATTTAGGTCACGTTTAGAGTAGTAAAAAAGCCGCGCATGGAACAAAAAAGCATTTATTGCATAAAGTGCAAGATTATCAACATGTTCAGATATCAAGTACAATTAATTCTGTTCTACATTGCTTAAACTCAAATGCTGATTAGCTCAAGAGTATTTGAACACATGATCTCTTTTGCAAGATGGCATAAAATTATTTTTGTCAGTCATGATGGTATTGTGAGCTTGACAGGCCAAAATAATCTCCAGTAGAACATTTAAATTGAGAATTTCCTTGATCAATCTACAAATTGTGTTCTGTGAATTTCGTCTGAGTGTTAATTATTGTTAGCAGAATTATCTCGTCAAGCATATATAATTAACAAACAGTAGTGGTCACATTAATCAAAGATTTATTGATTGTTCATTTATGAAAACTTTCAGTAGGATTTGTATCATTAACTTCTTTGCTAATCATCGCCAACTTTAAAATATGAACATATACTTATGTTTTCATTTGACAAATATTTTTAAACATGGATATAATCATTCAATTAGCGCAAACAGGAGTTGACTCAAATATTGAAAGCAATTAACAAATCAAATATCAAGTCTGCAAATTGGGCGAATATTTCAAAGAGTAACTATTGTCATTTACTATAAAATGACCATTAAGTGAATTATTTCAGAATGTTTGCAACTGTTAAAATTCATTCTTTCAATAAAAAGTGTCTTAAATTAATTGTCACTTTGTCCTTCGTATTTCCAATTTCCTCAAATACCTGTACAGTTTTGAATTGTTAAATCTAAATGAATTCAACAATCATCAATTTTAAGAATATTTTGGTTAGATTTTCATTATTTTATAGTACATATTACACATATTTATGCAAATTCAAATTAACTAAATGAAATTTTATTAGAAATGAAAACTCTTACAATATTTTAACATTAAATTAATAATGTTAATTTTACGAAGGATTTAACAAAATCTTCGATTATCAGTCGATGAGGGGTCGCAACAGAAAAACGAGCTAGAGATGTAAAATAAAATATCGTTATCTTCTTACTTCAAAGCCCTGTTAGTTAAATTGGGATAAAGAATTGAAATTAACATACCGGATGCCTCTATCGAATTTCTTCCAGCCATCCTTAATTTTGCTATCACTCTGTCGCCTTTTGGAAGTTTTCATACCTACGCAAGTAAAAGGTAATAGTAATTTGCACTTCCCTCTGAACAACTTTGTGCTAATTGGCTAATTTTAAATATCCGGCTTACAAGCAGTGGATGAGGTGCTGGAGACATCAGATAGGGACACTTGAGCTATAATGCAAATAAACCTTCTTTAATGTTAGCAGCGTCAATTAACTAAAGATTCAAAATGAGCGAGTTCTAAGAATGATTCTAATGTGCTCATGTAATACTGGTTATATGATGCAATAGTAAATATCTCGGTTTATAAAAAGCAAAATTAAACTTAATGAAATTTCTATATTACTCCATTTATCTTCTAGTCTTGGTACAGTGTCTGTAGGCTCGCCTAGATTAGCTGAGTTCGCAGGTTCAGTTGTATTGATTGGGTCAGCAAGCTCATCTGGTTCGGTTTGGTCATCGCATTCATCTGAATCGTTTGGGCCAACAAGTTTCTCTGGTTCATTCTGTTCAACAGATTCATCTGGATTGATTGGATCAACAGGTTCCTCTGGTTTAGTTTGGTCAACAGGTTCCTCTGGTTCAGTCTGTTCAACAGATTCATCTGGATTGATTGGGTCAATAATTTCTTCTGGTTCAGTCTGTTCAACAGATTCATCTGGATTGATTGGGTCAATAATTTCTTCTGGCTTAGTCTGTTCAACAGTTTCATCTGTCTTGGTTGGGTCAACTAGTTCTTCTGGTTCAGTCTGTTCAATAGATTCATCTGAATTGATTGGGTCAACCAGTTCGTCTGGTTTAGTTTGGTCAACAGGTTCCTCTGGTTTGATTGGGTCAACCAGTTCTTCTGGTTCAGTCTGTTCAACAGACTCATCTGGATTGATTGGGTCAACCAGTTCTTCTGGTTTAGTTTGGTCAACAGGTTTATCTTTCCTGATTGGGTCAACATGTACTTTTTGCTTAGTTGGGTTCACAGGTACCTCATGCTTTGCTTCAATTGCAATATCAAACTTTAAGATTATTAACAGTTTATATTGTAAAATGTAGTTTAAAATATTCTACCTGAGCCTGTTCCTTTCTTTGGAGCTCCATCGGCAAAAGGAGCAGATTCTGGTTCTACATGACAAGCCGCTGTAAGATCAATTGCAGATTGGTAGTCAAAATTAAGCAACAATTGTACGCAAAAGACATTATTTATTGAATATTACCGTCAACTAGCTTGGGCTTAACTGAGGCGGTTTTGGTTTTAGGATCGGACATCACCCTTAAACATGGAAGTGAGTGTAAATCAGGCCATTAAAAGTATAAAGAAAACTTCGGAAACAAATTACCTTATCGCACGAGCTAAATTGTGGTTCTTAAGGACTGCTCGCAAAGCTTATATACTTAAAACTTCTGAATGTCAGGTGACAGTATATGGTTACTCTATTGAGAATCAGGTTACTAGGTTCGTAATATTTATGAAAAAAATATTTCAAACGTCATATCAAATCACGACTTTTTCTGTTTCTTAATACCTATATAGTTTGTGTTCAACATTTTTTTGACGAAAATATCAACTTTGAAGTACTTTATCACATCACTGGAAAATAAACTTGATTTTCATTTTAAATAATCATTCCATATTGTGACACCAAAATTTGTAGGGAATGACCGAGGTGTCTTGAATTTACCTGACCTATGCTTCACAGAATGGAAGGAACATCAAAGCGAAAAAAGTCGAGTTAGAGGGGGAGGGGAACAGAAGTTTTTCAAAGACAATGGTAGAAAAAAGGTGAGGTGAGTACTGTGGAAGTAGGTGAATATGACATAAAGTGGGGTGATGGTAGTTTAAAGTCAGAAGTCAACTGTCTATTTATAGATTTTTTTTGTCGTATGAGTATACGTTGTCCAGAGTGCACCACGTGGAGGTAGGCTCTGCCAAATGTTCGATAACCCTGACTCCTTTTACTATGTCATTACCTTTAGAGTAGTAATAACTATGTTATTATAGTGTTACGGAGTTTAGTTTTCCTCTACTAGAATACATATGACCGCAGGTAATCACCAGACAACCTCTTATTCAGACCCCTAACAGATGAAAAGGCAAGGTATATTAGCGGCATTTCACTATATTTGAAAACTTAGAAGAGAATGCTTGTATTTTAACACTCTTGTTTCCGATAATTGATTTGGATCAATGATCATTGGGAAAATTAATTACCCAAATGATCACAATCGTTGTTACATGTAGATACTAACTTCTATTATTCTTCTCTTCTTGTTAACTCTGAATCATCTTGAAACTGCTGAACATCAATAGAAAGTTGACACTTAACTTATTTTGACTTAATAGGATTATTGAATGACAATAGGAGGGGGGAGGACAAAATAACATGAAACTATGTTAGACTAAATTGTCTTAATATGTTACCTCAAGTGGTATGGTCAATGACCAAATGAAAGTGTAGAGGAGTAAGACTAAATGGAATGGAATTTTGCAAGTTAATTCTTTTGTAATGCTAGAAAGAGTTTTGCAATGACTTGGGTTTTCCTAAATTAACACTTGGGCTTTTCATAATAAAAAATGTAAAGGTTGACCAATGAGCAAAGAATTTTGAATAAAAATAACGCGATATCTTTAACCCCATATTTAAGCCCTTTATTAAAGTAAGAACTGTATCAATTTGCTCAGAGACATTGACGAATATTTTCGAACATCTTATGGTAATAGAGAGCGACCGGCCTACAAGCGTAAACTACTAAAACGTCCCAATCAAGCAAATAAACATTGCAACTGTAAAAATTGAACTCTTTTACGCTCGATAAGTTTATGCATCTTGTTTTTCCTTAATCAGAAAAGTATACAGCTCTATTGAAATCATCCCAGTTAGAGCCATAATTAGGAATTCATTATATTAATATATTGTTTTACTAAAATACAAAAAAAATTAATGCAATATTGTAGATAAGGTATAAGCCAGGTTCGATGCTTTCGGCAATACCTATTCAATCGCCGAAGTCCACATAATTATTGAGAAGTCTGATCAGAAATTCTCAAGCCTTCTACTATTTAGCTTGGCTTATTTGAGCGGGCTTCCATAGGTCAATAAAATTACTTTAGAGTTTCCTGCTTGGCACATTTTCTACATTAGCTCATGGTCAGCTTCTTAATCAAGAATCATAAATTTCAATCTAATTTCAATTTTTGCTTCCAAAATTGTTCTTTTTGTATTAATTTTGTAGGTTAATATTTAATTGTTTGAATTATAAGACTTTTGCATGTATCTAACTGGCCACTGACATTAACAGCAAATGAAATCACACATAATTGCATGTTTATTTCACAGTGCTCATATGACTGAACGAATCAGAAGACGTGCATGTTATATACTTAAGCGACAAGTATACTATCACGCCTATTTGCAAAACTTTTGTTGTTTTAAGTAACCATTTGTTTTATTTATCGATGACGCCAGTGAAAAAGTTTACTTGACGTTATAACCCGCGTTTATTGATACACGCCTTATATGAAATGAAACTGGCTTTTTATATATCAATAAATTTAAACGAGTGCGCGATAACTGATCGTAGCTGATTAATATGGGAAATAATTATGACCGTCGTGCAGTGTGCCGCTGAATCAGGAAAACATGCAAATATAATAAAGATTGTTTGAATTTGTATGGCAAATATTATGGAAAAAGGAAGGTTTTAAATGCAAGATTCATTAAATCACTTTTTAGCTTAATGATGCAACGCTATTTGTATCCACTCCTAATTTTATCCTTACATGCGTTTTATTTAGATATTTGTTTATTTTCACTCTTTATTTTCTATCAATAAGGCTGCATTGTGTAAAGTTGCAAGCTTTCCGCCATTATGTTCAATTTTTAATCATTATTTTGGCAACAGTTGCTAAGTCAATGAAATGGCCATCTTTTTATGTCTGTATTTATTGTAATTTACAAAATGTTGAACATGTCTTTCAACAAAAATTTGATTGCAGTCGATTGTGTGTGCATGCCAAGCAGTGCCGTACGTGGAATTCCACTAGCACAGTAGCTAAAATGTAGCCGTTACTTCTATCGAAAGAAACACGTGTTATTGAAAAGAAATCAGTATCAAAACATTTGTCATAATATGGCATTTTTGGAATTATGTTCAACACTCAGTCCATATAAAGAGCAAGATTTGTTCTGTACGATCTTATTAAAGTGATGTTTGCTAAGTAATGTATGAATTTTGAAGTGTCACTTTTTATGAAGTTTTAAGATCTTGCTATATATTTAACGTAGCTCTAAATTCATTGTTTCTCAGTCCAAGAGTTCAAGGAATCCACTTGTGAGATTAAATTTCAAGATGATTAAAACGCATATCTTCTGCAAAATATTTCCCATATTAGTAGAAGGAAGCTAACATCTCAAATTGCATAAGATAAATAGGTGAATAATTGTACCACGCCCATCTCTATGACTTTACAGACAGTAAAAAAACTCCGACTTATGAAAACTCATTTAATGACTTCTGTGTGGTGCACAGAACCAACATGGCTGAACCGAAAAAATTCCTTGAGCGCTCGAGCATTCTGGAACTTGGGGATGTGGTGCTGATTGCGTTGGGAAGCGAATTATGTCACTAAGGTTATCGTACCCAAAGAGTACTTAATGATTAAGAGGCAATGTTATCACCCGTGCAATCCAGAGTACACTCCAAATAAATATTTTTCACGTTAATCGTCTGTTTTCTCATTATCGTTGAAGTAGATTCCCTTATCCCAGGAGCCAGTCCACCTGTAGAGATCTCACTGTAAAGATTACGATGCATAAGTCGCGGCTTATGCATGTAGCAATCCAATGCACTCCTTAATTGTCGTTAAATTCACTTTTGCAATCTAAATTGTCTCTTCAAATTCCCCGTGGTTAAAGTGAATATTAATTTTTGAGTATGTTAGTTAAGCATATGCAAATACAGCTCCTATTTTCACACCTTGGATGTGTGCGATGGACTTACCTCCACCTGGTGCACCCTGGGCAACGTATACTTATACGCCAAAAAGTCTTTTATTCAGCAATTGATTTCTGATTTCAAACTACCATGGCTCCACTGCATGTCAAATTCGACTACTTCCACAGTACTTACCTCACCTTTTTTCTACCTTTGTGTCTGATCAATCACATTTTTGAGACTCCCTTCTGCTCCCCCCCCCCCCGATCTCGACCTTTTTTTCACTTTGCTAATGATAACTATCAAAACACCTGCCATTTGATATAAATTTTTGTAGCTTCAATATTCATACTTAACCATATATGAACCTTCCAGTAGGTTATTTTCAAAATCTATTTGATTTGTTCTCATCGAACTTATGTAAATACTTCATTTTTTATTTTAGAAATATTCTAGGATTAAGAATATTGCAGAATAAAGTAGAAAAATTGAAAATTAAACATAGCTTTTAACCACAAGTTCGTGTTCTCTCCAATTATAAGCAAAAAAATTTTATACGCAAAATTATTCCAATAATAAAGCGCATCTGATTCAAATATTGCCGCAAATAATTTCATAGTTCAAATTGACGGAGCACGGTATCTTAAAAGTGGCTTTAAGAGACACGATATTTTTCTAGTAATTTAATCTGTTCTATTTCATTGAGAAGTCACATGTGGCATTTAACAGAAAAATCTTAGCCACGAATGAAGGTAAAATGATCACGTTCTTGGTATTTATAGCAACACGGCTAAATAATACCACTGACCAATTAAAAAATTTTATAATGTTGTTGATCTTCGAGTAAGACATCGTCAATGTATAAAAGAGATGACAAGATGATGGTACCATCAAGAGGGTGAGAGGTAATGTGCTATTTCGGTAAGACAAACTTAGTTTAATGCGCCTGAAACTCTTTTAAATTAACGGCATTCGAGTTTTCCAACCTGAGGAAATAGGTTATCATAGGCCAAGCCGAAGTCAAAACAGCAGATGTGATGACGGTATGAAAACTATGAAATAAATCATTTTTATTAATCCCCTTTTATTAGTAGTAGCATATCTTAAAAATTAAGCTTATAGGAGGTGGAGTTTCCTACTTAGCTATTAGTTTATTAATCCTTTAACTATTTATTTATGCTGCATTGAAAAGAACCCGAAGGAACAAGGAGAAGACGCAGAGTTTCTGAACGTCCGTTAAGTGAGAGAATGAGAGAATACTGGGCGGGGTTATTTTATTTGATTAGGTAAGTTAAAGTTACATCTTAACAAATTTTAACTTGAAATGACCATTG